AAGTGTTGCAGATCTCTTGAAACTGAATGTCCCAATCACCCCAGACGAACCTATTAATGCCATTCCTCCTTGGCTGGATTTATCAGTTCCTATTAATTACACTCCTGTTGGTAGTAAGCAAATGTTAAACACCGATGTGGTGAGATGTGTCACACTAGAAACTATTAACAGACACATAGAGAGTAGAACAGGTAGAACAGACTGTGCAATTGTAATATATAAAGAAAAAGAGATGATAGTGTGGGGTTCAAGATGTTTGGTTCACACTCAGGATGGGATGGAGAAAGGAAACTCACAATGTGCTCTCTATATACATGTTGTATTGGCTGTACAATGCAGCTTGGTGCTGGGAAGGCAGCATGGTTACAAGCATGATGTAGAGAGAGCTGGTTGGTGAGGATGCTCAGAGGAGGACCAGCCTGTGGGTCGCCATGCTCGCCGGCGGGAGCGAGGACCACCAGGCAGGCGGAGGAGGTGTTGCTGGCTGGTTGGTGTAGGTAGAAAAGAGACAGGTCACCACGAGGTCAGGTCTTAAATAGCGGGGGTAGGCGTGGCTTAGTAGTTGACCCCCGCTCCGTGATGTATGGCGGCGCTGGTTGACCTAGACCACGAGGCATACACTGGGGAATTGGTGGGGTCGGCTACTCAGGAGCTCCTCGCTCCTACACCGGCCAATATCATTGCCTCCTGCACTGAGGCAGATAATGGGTTTGTTCCCATTACCAGACAAGATACTGTCCATCCTGTCAATTATATCCCCCACCCCAGCTCCTGGCAAACACACCCTCATCCTATTTTTATTTTTACCACAAAAGGCCCTGTCCATGTACCTTACCTGTGAGTCACCAACAATTAAAGTTTTTATACCTTCCTTGCCTTCCCTGTCCCTGACTGTACTAACGTCCAATTCGTCTATCAAGGAACTGAACGGGTTGGTACACTTAGCTGTTGTTGTCGTTGTTGTCGTAGCCTTGGTGTACTTCTTCACCACCAGCTTCGTCTTCCCACTACTCACCACCTTCCACTCGCTTGAGTTTTCGTCAGACACTGGTCCCCTTTTAATTTCGCCAGCTCTTCCTTTAATTTCAGGTTCTCCAACGTGGCCCTCTCAATTTCTTCCTTGGCCCTCGCCAATTCTTCCATGGACCACTCCAGTTTGGTCAACAAACTCACATACCCAAGACCGCACACGGCACTGGCCATATCTGATAATTTCCCCTCGGGAGCTAACCCTTCCGTGACCTTTCCCCTAGTGAGGTTAGAACACAACCAAGGACAGAACCAGACAATGTGATGTAGTCGTGGCCAGAATTAGGCTAGGATACAGACGCATCTGGCAAGTTAGTAACGCTGTACCCATACCGGAACACTCAGCATGTAAACTTTGTGATAAACCTGTAAAGCATTCACTTGAACACTATATTATTGAATGTGACACTGTCAAAGACTTCAGGCCACCTGACTTATTGTATCTTGAACTATGTAATTACTACATTGAATCAGGGGTGCTTGAGGACATTCTTGCTGTTTATCCTAAATTTGCTAGCCCACACTGATTGGTCTTCAATTAGAATATGACTCCAATGTATGTGAACCACTGACCTATATATACTGCTAATGAATATGATGTATTTCTTTCTTTGTGTACGAACCTCTGTCCTGCATGGCAGTGAACAGTGACATTACCCACATGAATCTGACCTATATAGTGTCAGTGCATATGATGCATTCTTTGTGTACGATCCTCTGTCCTGTATGGCAGTGAAGAGTGACATTACCCACATTAATCTGACCTATATATGTATATACAATCAACACCTCAACCCGCCAGGATTCGAACCCACGGCCCACTAGCCCATGACTGTGACCGGGGAACGCTAACAGGCTTTGTGTGAAATATAACAAAGTCTGATATCAGTTTTAGTATCCTGGTGGTCCAGCGGTTAGCGTTCCCCGGTCACAGTCATGGGCTAGTGGGACGTGGGTTCGAATCCTGGCGGGTTGAGGTGTTGAGTGTATGTAGAAGTCCGCATGCTATTCGGTTAATGAAATATATATATATATATATATATATATATATATAGTGTCAATGAATATTATGCATCTCTTTGTGTACGAACCTCTGTCCTGCATGGCAGTGAACAGTGACATAACCCACATGAATCTGACCTCTATACACATATAGCTGTTAATGAATATGATGTATTTTTTTGTGTATGAACCTCTGTCCTGCATGGCAGTGAGAAGTGATACCACCCTCAGTGTCAAGACCTGACTGAATTACTCAGAATAGGCAAACTGTACTACAAGCTTTGTCAATAAATTTGTTAAACTAAAAAAAAACTCTTTTTCCACTTCCTCCTCCCCCTCTCTCTCTCTTTCCACTTCCTCCTCTCCCTCTCTCTTTCCATTTCCTCTTCCCCTCTCTCTTTCCATTTCCTCCTCCTTTCTCTCTTTCTACCTCTCCCCATCTACCCCTACCTCTCTTCCACCATCCCCCTCTCTCCTGCCACATCCTCTCTCCTTCCACCTCCTCCACTCTTTCCACTTCTCTTTCCACTTCTCTTTCCACTTCCTCCTCTTCTTCCACCACCTCCTCTCGCCCTCTCTCGTTCCACCTCCTCCCCCTATTTCTCTGATTTTTTCCCATTTTCTTAAAATTTCCTGTTTTCTATGATGAAAAAATTCTCATTCTCTGATAAAAAATTCCCATGTTCTTTGATAAAAAGTTCCTGTTTTCTATTATGAATATTTCCCATTTTCTTTGAAAAGTACCCATTTTCTATGATAAGTTTTCCACCGATGAAAAACTATCCATTTTCCATGATGAAAATTTTCCACTTAATACGATGAAAATTTCCCCCTTTGATGAAAATACATATCAAGTTTTTATTATAATAATTGTTTATCAGACCACAGCTTACAGCCCAGAGAAGAACAACACATTTAACAGTAAGTAGATGCCTGCATGGTAACCCACATAAGTTGACACACCCTACAGTGACAGCAAGACCTGTCCCAGGAGAGCTGACGGCCACAAAGTACTTGAGTTAACCCTGCGATATAACCTTCTTAAAGAAACCACACCCAGCCAAGACACACCCGGGTGGTAATAATTAGGAAGCATTACCGACCTGCGACATGACCGCACACCCGGGCAAACACAGATGTCCAGACCTGACCCAAGGGAGGTCAAGTTCACAAGGGAACCAGAATTCTCACCGCCACTCGATCAGCTCAACCTGGCGTCATAACCTTGTTAATTCAAGGAACTGCTAACCAGCCAGCACTTCTGTTACCCGACCTAACACCCGGTCAAGACACACCCAGTTTAGTGTTAATTTGGAGAGGTCATCTGTCGGTTGGAGATCTCCAATATATAGGCCCTGCAGTCCCTTCCACCGGAATTACTTACACACCACTATCGACAGAAGACGGAGTCACACTCATCACTAGTCGAGGTCGGGAGGGAGACTTCCTTCCCCAGCACCGTTTCTCCAGCTAGCAGAGTCTCCCACAGGAAATATAGTCCAGCACTCCCTTCAACTGCTCCTGCTGGGCCTCCCTCAGGTCACACGTGAGTCATTGTCAGCGCTATCCATAGGGTGAGTTACTTACAGTGGGAAGTGTATTCATTTCATGTTTGTGTCCGAGAGGCAGGTTCGAGTAACGTTATTATATTAATGTGTCCATGCCATTCAGTTGAATAGTAAATAGCTGTACTTAGAATTCGTGTAGTAGAAAGATTTCCCCTAAGAACATATTTACAGCTAAATAACTGACGGGCCATGCTACCAAACTTCCTCACTTTACAATCCTACAACTAAATATTCTATCTATATGTATATATTCTATACGAGTTTTACCTTGTTATATTATGCTAATTCCCATTTTCTTTGATAAAAGTTTCAAATTTTCTTTTCTGAAAATTTCCCACTTTCTTTAATTAAAATTTTCCCCTTTTCTTTTATGAAAATTTCATGTTTTCTATGAGGAAAATTTCTCACTTTTGTGAAAATATACCATTTTATTTTATGAAAATTTCCGTTTTCTATGATTAAAATTTCCCATTTTCTTTGATATATTTTTTTTACTTGCTTACCTCTGTTATTAGCTAACATTTCTTGTATGTTGTGTACTAATCTGTCACTACAAAAAAATGCTTCACTTCAATCATCATAGTTCGTTTTCCCTGTTAACTTAGGTTGTGGCAATCATGACTACCCGGGCAACATGATGACGTTGGATTGTTGGTTGACGTGTAGGGCTTCTCGAGTAGTGGTGGCTGTGAGCCTCCCCCCACCCCCTACCCCGGCAACAAGCTCCGGCACTAAGCATGACACTAGCTGTCCTCCCGGAAATGCAGGGCCGGTGCAAAATGATTTGGCGCCCTAGGCAAGCCTTTAGATGTGCGCCCCCTTGAAAGTTTTGATAAGCTAATATAGGTACAGTAACCCATTACTACTTTGTTTCTAACTCTCCAAACACCACTGATAACATAATTTTCATCTTGTGGCTTTATTACTTCATCCATGCAAATAACCAATTATTGTTATTACATTAAGTCAATAAATCCTTGACGTAAATGTCAATGAAACAATTTTTAGTTATTTTTTTTATTTTAGGGTAATCTTTAAAAAATAATAACATATAATAAGCATTTAGCTCGCTCCAGCCTCCTGCAAGTTATAACCTACTATTATTACATCATTATTATATACATGTAGTGCAAAATAAGATACTTGTGAGTTGTGACCAGTCATTGGTCGGACAATATATTAAATTGACATCTTAAGTATAAATAGAAAAAGCTTAATGGAGAGATGTAACAGTTATGAATAAAAATAATTGCAACTCTGACCAAGCCACATTAAAAAATTATTTACATTAAAAACTTAATACAATCACCTATTAATATTTTATTGACTTAAAGAGGTAACATCATATAATATGTCGAAAAATAAAAATTACTAGTTTAATTATATATTAGCATACGAACGTCACGAAGTCAAAGTCACCAAAGTGCCATTAAAATTTGACTTTCGTGCTTTAGCTTTGGCAAATGTGGAAACAAGATGCTTTAAGTCCAGCTTCTCAGCAATTTCATGCTCAATTGAGAGAGTGGAAAGCCCAACAATCCAATCTTGTGTCATGGTTGAGCGTAAATAATTCTTAATCAATTTTAGTTTAGAGAAATTTCGCTCACCACTGGCCACAGACACAGGGAGTGTCAAGAGAATACGCAAAGCAATAAATACATTTGGAACACTATCTGCCAGCTTTTTCTTACATATAAATTTCAAAATATCTTGTGGTGATGCCCTCTTCTCGACACGTCTTGCAATGAACTGTAACTCGCTACACAAATCTGCAGCATCAATGTCTTTGTCGTCACCATGTTGTAAAGCTTTTTCTAGTTTTAAGCAATGTTCCATTACTTCCTTCGATGTTATTGTCTGCAAATTGTGAATGTCATACAGGAAACCAAACATTGAACTAACTACATGCATTTGTGTGAATCTTTGTTCAACTGATTGAATTGCTACATCTAAGACTGCAAAATAAAAGTTCACTTTGAACTTTTGCTTGGGATTCTGAATTAGTTCATCGTCTGCCTCGTATGTGAACTGCTTTCTCCTTCTCCTAATATGGACTGGCTCTGGTTCTAATTCTGCTGATATGCCCAACTCCTCAGCAAGTTCTTGTGCAGTTATTAATATTTTTTCAAATTCTTCATCATTTCTGCAGTTTACAAGATATTTTTTTGTTTCTTTCAGCTGTTCAACTGCATCATGTATATCATAATCCTTCCCTTGAAGTTTTTTGCGAGTTATATTAATCTCAAACAGAATATCATACCAAACAACGAGGGAAACGATAAACTTGAATTTGGAAATGTTATTTGCGAGACTGCGTGCCTCAACCCGTGAAGAATTACCAGAAGATCCTGTTAGGGAAATATCATCAGAGATTTCAATTAAGGCATCCACTATATTGCCAAGCTGGTAGCGAAGAGATTTCAAAGCATTAATATGACTTTCCCATCTTGTGTCGCTTAATGGTTTCACTGTCATACTTGGTACATGACGTTTTAAAACCTCCCAACGGCGTGTCGAAGCTGAAAAGTACACATAAACATGTTGTACCAGGTTAAAAAATGCTGTTGCCTCCAGGCAACATTTACCAGCGTCATTAACAACCAAATTTAAAGAATGTGCACTGCAGGGAACGAACAGTGCTCGTGGATTAATGTCCAATATTCTCCTTTGTACACCATTTTCTTTTCCTTTCATGTTGCTTCCGTTATCATAGCCTTGACTACGCATGTTTTCGACCAGTAATGGCATATCCTGTAACTGATGAAGAATGGTGTCTGTCATACCAGCACCTGTTGTTCTTGATTGGCACAAATCCCACAAAATGTTCTTTGATGCAAGGCTCGCATTTATCATCGTCTGAAGCCTCTGAAGGTATGTCTACAAATCGAAGTATCATGGTCATCTGTTCAACATGGCTTACATCAGGTGTACAGTCTAAGATTATTGAATAATACTTTGCAGCATGAGCAGATGCTAGTATTTCTTTTTTTATCGCATTGGCTAAGAGCTGAACCAGTTCATTTTGTATATCTTTCCCAAGGTAATGTACACATGTCTCACTGTCTGTTATCTTACGAAGATGTTGTAGGGTTACGTGATATTATGTTGTCTAGCACTCAGGATGGATGGAAACTCTAAGGTGGTGGTTTTCTTATATAATATAAGTTATATGGTAGACAGTCTGGTGCTGGAGATGCCGTGTGGTGAGGAGCTGCTCAGTAGACACGTTCGGTGAGTAGCGTGTTGAAGAAGGTAGATGTGCAGGAGCTTCGTTAGAGAAGATGTTGCCTGTTGCTGGCCTCCAGGTTGAATGAGAGCGGGACAGCGAGGAGCTTGCTTGGAGGAGGTGTTGCGTGTTCAGGAACGTAGAGTAGAATGAATCTCAATGGAGAGACAGAGCTTATATACACAGCTGCCGGAAGTAAACCCGTGGGAAGTCGCCGGTTTCTTGACTCCGTTGCTAGGGAAGACGTGGCTGGTTGCTAGGATACTGTGGCATCTGGTGACGCCCCCCCCCCCTGGGCCGCTCGTTTGGTTGCTAGGGAAGACGTAGCAGGTGGCTGGTTGCTAGGATACTGTGGCATTGGAATGCGGCTACGCAGTTGTAGGGGAGACGTCCACTACAATGTTCATTCATAATTGGGTCAAACAAAGCAAGATATTCTACAAACTTCAAAAAATTTCCATTGCCAGAGGTGTGCAGGTTGTCATGAGATCCTCTAAAAGGTAAATTTTGCATAGCAAGAACTCTCTCTAAAGCAATCAGTCTTTGTAAGATCTGTTGCCAATAATTTTCTTGCTGTTTGATATGGCGCATATTTGTTTCGTCAATTCTTTTTTGGCTTTAGTCAACTGGCCTGACTTATTAAGGTACAAGAACGCAGACACTACGCTGAATATCATAACTAGTAAAATGACCCATTTGATCGATAAATATATACCCAAGACCAAACCCAGTGCTTCTAGGAATACGAGGGGATCCCTACACATGAACCATGCGGCGGTCGACAAAATTAAGAAGAAAACCCAGAAATTCAAGACGTGGGTTGGGTCAAACGATGAGCAAGACAGGAGGATGTATGCAAGAGCCAGAAACCAAGCAAAGATAGAGTGTAGGAGGGCTGAAAAGGAGTTCCAAAGGCTGGTTGCAAGCGAGGTCAAGTCAAACCCAAAGGCGTTTTACCGCTATGCAAAGTCGAAATTGAAAACGCGAGTAGGAGTATCAGACCTGAGGCTTGAAGATGGTAGTTACGCAGATTCTGACCAGGATAAAGCTGAGGCATTGAACAGCTTCTTTTCCTCAGTGTTCACAAGAGAGGATGCAACTAACCTTCCTGCGTTTGAGGACAGACGGTTCGACACAGCACTGACCCACATTGTGTTCACAGAAGAGGGTATTAGAAATAAGAGGGAGGAGTTTGAAACACTACTAAGAGTACACCAACCAGATATTGTAGGAGTTGTAGAACTGTTGTACAAGAACAGGAGAATCGACCCAGAGGAATGTGAGTTCAGTATTGCTGGATATGACTCATTTACGAACCTAACTCAAGAATCCTGCAGGAGGGGTGTGGTTATCTACGCTAGGCAAGACCTTAGAGCCAGCCAGGCGAGGGTACAGGGAGAGGATGTCTTTGAAGAGTCCAAGTGGTGTAAAATTAAATTAAAGGGAGGGGACTTACTTATCGTCGGGTGTATCTACAGATCCCCGAACTGTGGCCCACTAAATCAAAGGAACTTAAGAACCTTAATAAACAATGCGGCGATGCTCAACCCCAGCCACCTCCTTATCATGGGGGACTTTAACTATGGCGACATCGACTGGAGAAACGAGTCAACCCCGAATGACTTGAATAATCCTGCTACTCTTTTTGTAGAAACTCTGAGAGATAATTTTCTGTTCCAACATGTGAGAGACCCGACACATTACAGAGGGGAACAAACACCCAAGCCACTTGACCTCATCATAACAAACGAGGAGGGTATGGTGGCCAAACTGGAACACCTTGCCCCAGTTGGCACCAGTCACCATACAGTGTTGTCATTCAGATTTAACTGTTACCTAGTTCAAGATAAGGCCAGGCCAAGGTGCAAATATTACAAGGGAAATTACAATGGGATGAGGGAAGAGATGAGGGGTATCAACTGGCCTGACTTATTAAGGTACAAGAACGCAGACACTACGCTGAATATCATAACTAGTAAAATGACCCATTTGATCGATAAATATATACCCAAGACCAAACCCAGTGCTTCTAGGAATACGAGGGGATCCCTACACATGAACCATGCGGCGGTCGACAAAATTAAGAAGAAAACCCAGAAATTCAAGACGTGGGTTGGGTCAAACGATGAGCAAGACAGGAGGATGTATGCAAGAGCCAGAAACCAAGCAAAGATAGAGTGTAGGAGGGCTGAAAAGGAGTTCCAAAGGCTGGTTGCACGCGAGGTCAAGTCAAACCCAAAGGCGTTTTACCGCTATGCAAAGTCGAAATTGAAAACGCGAGTAGGAGTATCAGACCTGAGGCTTGAAGATGGTAGTTACGCAGATTCTGACCAGGATAAAGCTGAGGCATTGAACAGCTTCTTTTCCTCAGTGTTCACAAGAGAGGATGCAACTAACCTTCCTGCGTTTGAGGACAGACGGTTCGACACAGCACTGACCCACATTGTGTTCACAGAAGAGGGTATTAGAAATAAACTGTCCAGGCTAAAGGTCCATAAGAGTCCCGGACCTGACATGGTGCATCCTAGAGTGCTAAGAGAGCTGTGCAACGAGCTTGCAGAGCCCCTGAAGATCCTGTTTTGTAAATGCCTGGATGAACAAATGGTCCCCAGTGAATGGAAAGTGGCTTATGTGAGTCCTATCTTCAAGAAGGGCGATAGTCACTCCACGAACAACTATAGACCGGTGAGCCTGACCAGCATAATATGTAAAGTACTTGAGAGTATTATCAGAGATGCAGCGATGGAACATCTACTACGAAACAACCTTGTAAAAGATTGCCAACACGGTTTTATGCCGGGGCGCTCTTGCTTGACACAATTGCTCAAGGTATTGGATATTTGGACCCATATTCTAGAACGGGGTGGTAATATCGACAATATTTACCTAGATTTTGCCAAGGCTTTCGACAGTGTACCCCACGAAAGGCTGAAAATCAAACTGGAAGGGTACGGAATTCGGGGAAATGTCCTAGCGTGGATAGAAGACTTTCTACATGACCGCAAGCAATGTGTGGTGATTAATGGCACGAAATCGTCATCTGTACCTGTAACAAGTGGGGTACCGCAGGGTAGTGTACTGGGCCCGCTGTTGTTTGTTTGTTTCATAAATGATATGCCTGACGTTGTACACTCCTCCATACAAATGTTTGCCGATGACGCCAAGTTATTTCGGGAAATTAAGAACCAAGCGGACTGTGAAGAGCTGCAGAAGGACCTCTGTGGGCTCCAGGAATGGTCGAAGGAATGGCTGCTGAGATTCAATGTCACGAAGTGTAAGAGGATGCACCTGGGGCGTACCAACGGTAAGGAGGCGTACCATATGTCCCAACGGGATGAAGAAAATGTACTAGTTGAGACTGTGTGTGAGAAGGACCTAGGTGTGTATGTTGACAATGAGCTGAAGTTCTCGGGCCATTGTGAGAAGAAGGTAAATCAGGCAAATAAATTATTGGGTCTTATAAGAAGGTCGTTCAGATATCTAGACGGTCCGTCCCTCGTGACGATCTTCAGGAGTGAAGTGCTTCCCCATCTGGAGTACTGTCACCCCATCTGGTCCCCGAGATATGCTAGGGACTGTCAGTTGGTTGAAAATGTTCAAAGGAGGGCCACCAAGCTGGTGCCTGCACTTCGGCATCTCAGCTACCCTGCGAGATTGGAGCGCCTGAACTTGCCTAGCTTATACTACAGACGGGCAAGGGGGGACCTAGTTGAGGTTTATAAGCATCTCAGGGGGCACTACTCAGTTGAGTGTCCTTACTTGGAGCTGGCGGACGCTCGCCCCACAAGGGGTCACAGCTCAAGATTGAAGAAGCCGCAAGTCCGGAAAACCGTGAGGGCAAACTTTTTCGGAGTGAGGGTTGTAAACTCTTGGAACAATCTACCAGAAAGTGTTGTGACGGCACCGAGTGTGAGCTCTTTCAAGAGAAGACTTGACCAACACTGGAGCGGGTTCAGGTACATTCAGGAGCCGGTGCATGCCCAGTATTTGCCAACAGTGCGTGACAGAGACGTGACCGATCGCCCGGGCGGCTAGCGAGCCGACCTTTTGGTGAAGAATATAAAGGAAAAGAGTCGTGACCGATCGCCCAAGCGGCTAACAAGCCGATCAGTGGCGAAGAGGATAAAAGTAAAAAGTAAAAGTACAACCTTTATCAACCAACGACGAAACAGTTGGGTAATTAACAGTAAACAGTTTACAACAGAAGCAAAATACCCAAGTCTTTTGACTTGGAATACTGTAGCCACTTACGATGCATTTGTTCGCCATTGACAAGTTTTCTATAGTAATGAACTGATGAGAATTTTCTCTGTTGATGGTCCTTAGGAAAATCGAATTGTTGAAGTTGTTCTGGTCCATGTTCCACCAAGATTTGTACACACTCACGCAGTACATATGTCCACTAGTACACACCCACGCAGTACATACGTTCACTAGTACACATCGTAACACACGTATGATAAAACTTGACGAAATGACGAGAAGCACTAAGATTGAAACAAAGACTAGCTAAGGTGTACAGCATTATAGACAGAGTACAAGAGAAATCAAATAACTATATACATTATAAAAATAATAAGGCAGTTTCAACTTACTGTTTAGCAGGATAGCCAGCTGTTGAAGTTGT